CACACACACACTGACACACTCACTCACACACTCACTCACACACTCACTGGAGAACAGGGGCGTGGGGGAGGAAGACAAACAAAAGTCTACACAGAACGGCGCCAGATCATGGAATCGAACCCAGGATTTGCTTCCAGACAGACGCCACCCAAGCTGCAATGATCTTAGCGGCTCGGGTTAGGATTACAAGAAGCTATTCATATACAATTCCCAGCCATGGATATTGTCAGTGGCAAGTGGTATATGAACCTGTCATGGACCTCCCCAAGGTTGACTCAGCCCTAAATGAGTAAACGGTGCAACGTGACAGCATCAGCGATGGAGAGACAAAGGCGGCCGGGTTTGTTGCTGCGCCGGCCTTAATAGGCACTCGCTAACTGTGCTTAGCGTCGGCCTGCGTGCGAAGCTACGGGCGCATCCCTAATTGTGTATTGTTATTTATTATGCAGGAAACTATATGGAACACACGTGGCACGAATAACATCCGGAGGGATTTGTGATTGCAATTTACATGATAGCGATGATAGGGAGAAAAATCATCCAGCAGTGGATTGACCACGGCTCATGGTGGCGGTGCTGGAGACTCTGGGCAGTTGGAGGCAGTCGCCCTCCAACAACGACGGAGGGCAGAGGAGCGACGCTCACAACAACGAGCAGAGCGCCGGGCGGCTAACATGCAACAGCAGGGGGCACCGCTGGTGCATCAGCCAATCATCTCGGTCAGTCAACCTATGGCACCCGGGTCTGACCCGTGACCTCCTGTCAGCGAGCCTTCGACGCTTCACGTGGCCTCAAAGTGCACCTGGCCTGGCACAGGCGCCGTGGTGACGTCATCGTCACTCAGTGGCGAATGGCGGCTGTGTTGGTATCGGTGGCGGTGGTATTGATGATGTCGCTGACGATGAGATTCATCTGTTGGTGAAGGGCGAAAACTTTAAAAACCAGGGATCAACCCGGGAATCTTGGGAGCGGGTAAACACGCTTCCATCTGCAATTGCTGCTCAATGTCCCCCCGCCCCCCCCACTGCTGTCTCTGCCGCCTTGAATCTGCGCGCCACCTGCGGTTGCTGACACATTGAGTGGGGGGATTGTACGAGCGCGTCTCCAATATATATAAGCTATGTATGCATTAATTAGGCCATCAAAAATCTTAAATGATGAAAATGATAGCAGCAGTGGCTTTGAGCCCCTGCTCGTTTCATGTAGGTCAAGCTTCGCGATTCGTTGCTGTTGTTATTATTGTTATTTTTGTGGGTTTGAGTATTTTTTCGCGAGATGTGGCCAGGAGATGGCACAGCTGAGGGTTCTCCCTCCACCCGTGGGCTGGGTTTACTCCGGGCTCTCCAGTTGCCTCCTCCCACACGAAGACCCCCCCCCTCCCCCCCCCAAAGTCTCATCGCGAATGGAATTCGTGGCCAAATGTTATTTTAAAAAATCTCACAATACAAGCACCGGTGTTTCCCGATCTCTATTTTAGGTGGTTAAGTTTATTAAGTTGCTGAGTCAGGATTTAGGCAAACAACTAACTCACTTTTCACCCAGGCAATAGGAGAACAGAACAGAGAAAGTGTGACTGATCTAATATTAAAACTAACAATACCATATTTAAGAATCGGTGGTGAGATGTTATCTACCTCGCCTGGTATACAGGAGGTCGTGGCTTCGATTCCGACCCTGACAGGGTCTGCGTGTCTCTCTCCCCGTGGTCGCGTGGATTTTTCTTCGGGTCCTCCGGTTTTTCCCCTCCACAATTAGAATCGACACCACGCGTTTAGAGTATTTCGCTGGGGGCTATACATGTCCGCATGATGATAAGCCACTTCGTTGAGTTATAGTTTGGGGTCAGATCGCTTCTGAAAAAGAGCCATATAGCTCAGTGGGCCTTGCGTGGTAATTTTTTTTTAAAGATTAGTTTATAGTTTTAAATGGAGAAAGGGGAGATGCTGAGACGACGAAGGGATTATTAGTGGCAGTGGTGTTCGCCACATGGTCATCTCGGTTATCTGAGCCACTGAGCAGAGACAGAGGCCATGTGGTTTCTCTTCAGAAGATTAATTGAATCATGATCTTTATTTAGACTGGAGGATGAAGGAATCCGATGAGCTATGAAGCTCTCTTTTCACAGATGTAAAGTCAGGGGGAAGTCGGAAAGTTAGAGCAACAAACTTAACGAAAAAATACAACAGGAGTGCAAAGTATCGATAAGATAAGCAAATCACTAAACATAAATAAACAAATACAATCAATAAAATGTTTATTGTAATTGTTTTAATGTTTGGTTATTAGCACTTGGTCTTTGCTGCTCCCGAGTCAAACGCAAAAATAAGCAAGTCGCTAAAAATAAATTAATAAAATTTAACAAAGTATGTATAGTCCGTGTTAATGTTAGGTTAGTAACGCTGTTAATGTTAGGCTAGTGACACTTGTTAGGTTAGTAACAATTGTTAGGTTAGTGACACTGTTAATGTTAGGTTATTGACTCTTGTTAGTCCGCTGCTATTCAGTTTGCTGGGTGAAAAGTGGGCGAGGTTTTGCCCTATCCTGGCCAGCCGACTCAACATCTTAATAAACTCACCTCGCATAGAGAATCATACAGACTCATAGCGATACATGTAAACTCACAGAGTTACATGTAGACTCATAGAGACACATAGAGACCCATTGAGATATATGGCGACTCATAGAGATGCATAGAGACTCATATAGATACATGGAGACTCGTAGAGATACATGGAGACTCGTAGAGATACATGGAGACTCACAGATACATGGACACTCGTAGAGATACATGAATACTCATAGATATACATGGAGACTCATAGAGATACATAAATACTAATAGAGATACATGGAGACTCATAGAGATACATGGAAACTCGTAGAGATACATGGAGACTCATAGAGATACATGGATACTCATAGAGATACATGGCGACTCATAGAGATGCATAGAGACTCATATAGATATATGGAGACTCACAGATACATAGAGACTCATAGAGATATATGGACACTCGTAGAGATGCATGGAGAGTCATAGAGATACATTGATACTCATAGAGATACATAGATACTCATAGAGACACATGGAGACTCGTAGAGATACATGGAGACTCATAGAGATGCATGGAGACTCATAGAGATACATGGATACTCATATAGATACATGAATACTCATAGAGATACATGGAGACTCGTAGAGATACATGGAGACTCACAGATACATGGATACTTGTAGAGATATATGCATACTCATAGAGATACATTGATACTCATATAGATACATGGAGACTCATAGAGATGCATGGAGACTCATAGACATGGAGACTCACGTAGATACATGGAGACTCACAGAGATACATGGATACTCATATAGATACATGGAGACTCATAGAGATGCATGGAGACTCAGATACATGGTGACTCACAGATACATGGAGACTTGTAGAGATACATGGAGACTCATAGAGATGCATGGAGACTCACAGATACATGGATACTCATAGAGATACATGGAGACTCATAGAGATACATGGGGACTCACAGAGCTACATTGAGACTCATAGACATACATGAATACTCATAGAGTTACATGGAGACTCACATAGATACATGGAGACTCATAGAGATACATAAAGACTGCAAAGTATGTATTCATCTGAAGTGGGACCGCTTATCAGCGGACACGGTTCTTCCATGGCGTATCAGGCAAGGGAAGGGGGGGGGGGGGATTTGGCTCACTCACAACGCAGCACAATGTGGGATTTGACGGAGCGCTTCGAATAGCGATTCCATCTTCAGGACGCTGTTCATAAACCAGTGCGCGTGGTTGTGTTGTTGAGAGACGAGGCAGTGTACGTGAGGTGAGTCTACTGGGTCTCTCTGTGCATCGTCGAGTCTCTCTGTGAGCCACTCAATGGGGCTGTCTGTCAGCCAGTTTATGGGGCTCTCGGTAAGCCTATGGGGACTCTCTGTGAGCAAGTTTATAGGACTCTCTGTGTGCCAGTATATAGGACTCTTTGTGAGCCAGTATATGGGACTCTTTGTGAGCCAGTTTATAGGACTCTCTGTGTGCCAGTATATATAACTCTTTGTGAGCCAGTTTATAGGACTCTCTGTGTGCCAGTTTATAGGACTCGTTGTGAGCCAGTTTATCGGACTCTTTGTGAGCCAGTTTATATGACTCTTTGTGAGCCAGTATATGGGACTCGTTGTGAGCCAGTTTATAGGACTCTCTGTGTGCCAGTATATAAGACTCTTTGTGAGCCAGTTTATGGGACTATTTGTGAGCCAGTTAATGGGACTATTTGTGAGCCAGTTTATGGGACTCTTTGTGAGCCAATTTAAGGAACTCTCTATGAGCAAGTCTATAGGACTGTCTGTGAGAAGGTCTATAGGACTCGCCGTGAGTCTACGCGATACAATGTTGATGGTGGTGAAGTCTAAATGATACGGCGTCCCCAGGCGTTGGGGTTCGTCTCGAGCGTGGCCGGGTTCCTCCGGGGTAGAAGTCGATCCCATACGAAACGACATCGCTCTACCCCAGAGTTCCATCCACATTGGATCAACTCTCCGATAGCGATCGGGAGGCCCGCGCCGTTCAGGACACGCAGATCACGCGTTCACGATGACAGACACAATTAACTCCGAGATCACCTCGATTAACTCTGCGTGCACTCACCACTCACTCACCACTCTCCACTCACCACGCGCTGGGTCACCACTCACATACTCCCCATTCACCACTAGTACGCACACTTACCCATTCACCCACCCACTCGCCCACTCACCACCCCCACGCATGCATGCTCACCCACTCACCCACTCACCCACGCACGCGCCCAATCACCCACGCACGCGCCCACTCACCCACCCGCCCACTCACCACTGGTACGCGCGCTTACCCATTCACCCACCCACTCGCCCACTCACCACCCCCACGCACGCTCACCCGCCCACCCACCCACCCACGTGCCCACTCGCCCAACCCGCCCACTCACCAGCCCATCGCAGGTGGCGAGCGCCGCCGTTCCGGTTCGATCCCCGACCCCGTCGCTGGTCACCGAGCCGCGGTAGAAGCACCGTTCGCGCTCGCGCAGCGGCCGCGTCCGCGGGGGGCTCCCCGCGGCGCCCAGCACCGAGACGGTGAGGCCGGGCGCCAGCAGGGAGCGCGCGGGGCGCAGTGACAGCCGCAACTCCCGGCCCCCGTGGGCGCGCAGGCGGTAGTAGCGAGGCGACGAGGAGGAGGCGAGCGAGGAGGTCGAGGCGCGTCGACGGCGGCGAGTGGCGGGAGACACCACGGCGCCCCGAGCGTCCACCTCGACTGGTAAGACCATCTCGAAGTCTGCCGGAGGAGACAAGGGTTGTGGGGGTTCGGGGGGTTGACGAGGTGGTGGGGAGGGAGTGACGAGGTGGGTGGCGAGATGTTAGTTACCTCGATCTGGTATGCGGGAGGGTTCGTGGGTTCGATCTCGACCCTGGCGGCTGCTGTATATTTGGAGTTTTCGTGTCTCTCTCTCTCGCTCTCTATCTCTCCTCGTGGTCGCGCGGATTTTTCTATCCCGGTGCTCCGGTTTTTTTTTTTTCACCTCCACATTTAGAATCGGCATCACGCGTTTGGATTATGTGGCTGCTATGAATGGTCCAGATGATGATGAACCACTTTGCTGAGCTATCATTTGTGGCCAGGTGGCTTTAAAAAAAAGCTACATAGCGCAGTTGGCCTTACACAGTAAAACATATAATAGTTTCACTAGGCATAGGGTGGGAGCAGAGGGGTAGCGAGGTTGGGATGGTGAAGAGAGGTGACAAGGTGGAAGGGTGACGAGGTGGGGATGGAGAGGTGTGACGAGGTGGTGATGGGTGTGAGTGACGAGGTAGGTAACACGTGGTCTCTCTGAATGTCTATCTGAAAGTGATTATTATGATTAGTATTATTTAGGCTGTCATGATGATGATGGTGTTGATAATGGTGGCGTTGATAATGATGATGGTGGTGATCATACTGATGATGATGGTGATGATGACGACGGTAGTCATACTACTTTTACGTCTTCTTTCTCATGGCTCATGTGTAGATGCAGAGCAACCACTACAATGTCACATTCAGGTGCTCAAGCCCAGACAACCGCGTCAAGAGCAGCGGAGTGTATCGCTGTGATGTCGCCTTCCGTATTTGTGCAGTTGGAACCTACCTTGTCCCAGGGTCCAACTGGCGTCTCACACTGATGTGTGCACGACAATAATGTTGATGATGACTTTGACCGTCGGGACGATGATGATCGTATTGAGGAAGGTGATGATGGTGACAATAACCACACCCAGCATCATCATCATCGACGCAAGCACACTGCGTGTGCGCATTAATCGGGACGGGGGTTGAATCAGAGGCAGTCTCATGGCGAGAGCCAGTCACTCGGAGTCTACAGAATGAATGAAAAGTGTCATTGTCTCGCCCATGGGCTACAGTTAAATTGCACGCTGGAATTTTTTTTTAATGTGATGGTATTATTGCGTTGCGCGTGTTGGTTGGTTGGTTTGGTTTGGATGGAGTGGTTGGCATTTTAATTTAAAGCAGCCCCATCGCTCACTTGTGCTGCTCGTGAAACCGGACACGTCCTACGCGCGTACCGGCCCAGCGTTGCCACATCCACGTCGTTCCGGGTGCCAGATCAGTCTCCCCCCCACCCCCCACAAACAACAACCCCGACATCTGTTGTCATTAAAGGCGGCGACAACGGCGGTGATGATGATGATGCCATCGTCATCATCCTCGTCGTCATCACCATGATCCTTGTCATTGTAATAATCATGCTGGCCACTACGATGGACGTCATCATCATCATCATGCCGTTCATCGTCATGATGATGACGATGAAACATGAGCTTTGATTATTTAGATGACTGTACTGCTATTAATGTCCACACGATAAGCCACTTCGTCCAGCTATCATGTGTGGCCAAGTCGCTTCTGAAAAATAAGCTAATAGCTCAGTTGGCTTTCACTGACAAGATCAAAAATAGTTTAGTTTTATTCGTATATTGTTTAAAAGTGATTTGTTTTCTATACGTTGCACTCATATCGTGTTGTTTGATGTTGTCACGTTCTGACCCGCCCCTACTGGAAAGCTGTGAAAAAGAGCTTTATAGCTCATCGTATTCCTCCAGTAGAAACAAATATTCTAATTCTGATCATCAATATGATCCATTAGAATAATCTCAATGATAATTACAAATCCGTATTGTTTGCATAATTATTGCCATGACAACACAATGATTATCGTTGTCATCATCATCACCATCATCATCTTAACCACCACAATCAATACCATCATCATCTTGATCATTATGATGGTCTTTGTAATGAAGACTGACACCATCATCATTAAACTTATGTCCATTACGGTTTTCACCATCGACTTGATTATTGCCACATCAACCATCATCATTATTGGCACAATCATCATTATCATCATGATCGCCATCATCATGAGCATTTGAATCGTAATCACGACCATTACGATCATCACCATCATGACAAAGCCATCGTCATCGCCACAATCATCATCAACACCATCACCATCATCATCACAACCATCAAGAGCAATACCAACACCATCACAATAACCATCACCAGAGTGATGGTTGTAGTTGTCCATGACTCGCCCCATGTGCCTATTTTTACCCGTGCCCCCCCCTCTCTCCGTCTCTCTATTTATCTCTCCTCAGTGCATTTGCCTTCACAAGAAACTCCTGTACAGAGGGTAAATCTCACACCCCTCGTGTTTCAACCACGTGGCGCTGCTGTCGGCTATCAATCGGCTTTGTCCGCGAGGACGAGTGGCTGGACGCCAGCACTCTCTGGTAAGAACCCGCGTCAAGTTCAAGACCGGACCTCTCTTGTGCGAGCGACGGCAATAAAAGAACACAACGAACCTCAAGGGTGTCGACAATTCATCCTCCCCCCCCCAGCGGCGGAACCGTGGAATAGAACACGTACCCAGGAAAGGTATCAACTCAACGAGTCTCAAAGACTTCCCTTTGCGGGAGGGTCCTGCCACATTGCGATGCTTGGCCATGTACTAAACTCACTTTCCACTGTGTTTACTTGACCAGGGAAGGCCAACTGAGCTGTGTAGCTCTTTTTGTTTCAGAAGCGACCTGGCCATCACGATTGGTATCTCAACGGAGTGGCTGATTTTTGTGGAAATGTATCGGTGCAGGCGAATACACGTCAAAGTTTGGCTACTCCCCGTGGCAAGTGCCGTTAGCGAGTGGTACCTATGAAGCCTGGCACGGCACACCAGGGGAGTGGGTAGCCAGATTCACGCCCGGCCGCCTTTGTCTCCCTAGTGGCGGTGTTTACACACTGCACAAGGTACTCGTTTAAGGCTTAGTCGACCTATGAAGGACACACACGCGTGTACACACACACACGTGTACACACACACGTGTACCCATGCACACGTACACGCACTTACCATCGGGGTATTGCTGAGTGATTGCAGTTGGAGTCGGTTGATTTTCGAGAGAATGCGATTCGAATCCGCTGCTGATCCTACTGCTGATGCTGCTGGTGATGCTGCTGTTGTGCCTGAGACGACTTGGCCGAGTGATGGAAGTGATTTCCTTAGCATCATGCACCAGACCCTGTTGGAGATGACACCATAATCATCATCAACATCCCGGATACAATGCTACTATAACATGTTCGTTCTGAATCATCAGTTATTCCCGAAAATGCATCATAATCTCATGCTATCAATGTCATCGTCATCTTCGTCATCGATTCACTGCTGCTATAACCTTTATATATCATCGAGACATTGATTGTGATCACGTTTTGGTAAATTCGTCGTCATCATCATCTGACATCATGATCTGACATAATCGTTATCATCACGTAAAATCATCATTACATGCAATCATTATTGTAGCCATGATCTGACATCATCGTTATTTGACATCGTCGTGGTCTGACACCACCACGTGGAATCCATGGGCACTAAGTGTTGATACTTAATCCCCGCGGTGTCGAGCGTGATCGCAACTATTGCCATAATTGTGACGTCACCATCGTCTATTGTCTCATCATCGATATCGTCGGGACTGGATGCATCAATGAGCATGCCATTGAGCATGATCGTGTTTGCGTAAATGCATCGTCATCATCAGCACCATAACTGCTACCACGATCATCGTCATCATCAGCACCATCACCGCTACCACGATCGTCGTCATCATCAGCACCATCACCACTAACACGATCATCATCAGCACCATCACCGCTACCACGATCATCGTCATCATCAGCACCATCACCGCTTCCACGATCATCGTCATCATCAGCACCATCACCACAACCACGATCATTGTCATCATCAGCACCATCACCACAACCACGATCATTGTCATCATCAGCACCATCACCGCTACCACGATCCTCGTCATCATCAGCACCATCACCACTAACACGATCATCGTCATCATCAGCACCATCACCACTACCACGATCATCGTCATCATCGTCCACACGAAGCACAACTGCATGTTTCAATCAGTGGGATCTCGAGCACGATCAGAATCTATTCACGTCAACCCATAATCGTAATCATCGTCATCATCGGCAAATGAATTGTCATAAGTTGCAAAAACATTATAATCGATATAGTTATCATCATCATGAGCTGTTAGCTCACTCAACTACTCTCTTTTACGCACAAGCAAATGCCAAGACCCATTTAGTCAAGCAACTGCTGGATGAGCGTCGTGCGGGTCGTGGGGGGGGGGGAGGATTGTTTGACCATACTTCACCACGCTGGTCATTGCGGGTTGGGGGGGAGAGGTGGTGGAGGTGGGTATCACGCGGGAGCATATAAGTGCAGCACAACAATGGATGTTCTTACGACACTGGTCTCTGCCTCTCATGTATTCATTTTCTACCCATTAAGCTTAATATTGCGATCATGCACAGCAACCACTGATGCACAATAATCATACTGACGTACAATATACAGCCCTGTGCCAATACACTGCTGGATGAAGGCCTGGAGGTTGTTTGACCATACTTCACCATGCTGCTTAGTGTAGGTTGATGGTTTAATTGGGGGCGTGGGGGGCGGCTCAGATATCCCTCGCCCGTGACCGGGAATCGAACTCGCTTGGCCGAGTTAATTGCGCGGTGGCGCTAACCACTGCGCCACCGCTCCCCACAGGAGGTTCTAGCTGACATGAGGACGTTCACGGCCAATTCCACGAATGCAAGTCTGGCGATCGCGCAGAAACTCCATCAACGCACATACGAGGGCGGAGGGAGGGGAGGGGATAACAGGCAGCAAAGCACCGTACAGACGGATTCAATGATCCATTGCTGAGTTTTTTTCGTGTTTTTTTTTTCCCCATCGCCTGGCCACCCTCCCATGCCGAGTCTGGCATTTCCCGACAGTCTCAAATCGTAGCGCTCGCCAGGCACCAGCAGCCGCCTGCTTTTGTGGTAGCCTCTGAGACTCTTGCGTGAACGGGCCTCGCTCAGGGAGACTTCGAGCCGACTGACAAAGACGAGAGGCCCCCGCGCGTATCGCCTGCAACAGACTTTGTTGCAGGCGAGCGCTGTTCGCGAGTAGCACCCCTGAAGGGGCGGCACGGCGCACGGCAGGGGTGGGTTGGCCAGCACCACGCCCGCCCGCCGTTGATTAGACGGACACACACGCACACACACACACAAGCACACACACACACAAATACAACGAAGAGATAATACGATAACGCTGCCGCTAATGCAAAACCAAAAACACGTGCACTCACCCACGTTTCAGTGGCGACGCAAGCGAGAGAGAGCAGGAAAGCCACCGCTATCCTGAGCCACAGCGTGAGCCGAGACAGCTCCATAGCTGAGCGGAGGACCTGCCGCTTGCTGATGATGCTGCTGCTGCTACTGAAGATAATGAATGATGATGGCGATGTTGGTGATGACGACGTCGATGATGATGATGATCTTAATGGTCTATATCCCGCAACCTTTGTGGCAGAGAATGCCTCTGGTGCGAGATGACTTAGGCGGAGTGTCCATGGTGCATCGTGTCATCCTATGCCTCTGCGTGTCCGTGCACAGAAAACGGCGGAGTTGCACGAGTGAAGTAAGACTGTGTGTGTGTCTCTCTCTCTCTCTCTGTGCAAGTCAGTGACACAATGCAACCCCCCTCTCTCTCTCACTCTCCCCAGCGCTCCCAACCCGCGCTCACCCCTCCTGCGCCTCCCATTCCCACTCCTCCTCCTCCCTCTACTCCCTCCATCCTCCTCCTCCCCCACAAACACTGCCCACACCTCCCACCAACATCACCACCACCATCACCACCAACGCCAGTCTCTCTCTCTCTCCCCCCTTTCTCTCTCGCCTCTCTCTCTCTGCTCTCTCTCCACCACCAACCACACACGCCTCGCCAACCCCCACGCGCCTGCACCACCACCACCCCTCCCACACACGCACCCCTGCCTCCCGCGTGGTCTGCAACAGCGTTTAGCAAAGACTGCGGTGGCGCGTGTGGAGAATGTGGAACCTCGCGGGCCAGACACGAGCCGCGACGTCGATTCATTTTTCTCCTCCTCCTCCCCCCCCGTGAGCACACGACGAGGCCCACAGACTTCGAAACGGCAAACACGCGACATTATATCGGTAATCGCAAGCATCTTAGCCGCACTGATCGTGATTTGAACCTGGGCAACAGAATCGTTGCACGGTCGTGCCAGCCACAGCGCACACGTAGGTTGCTCGAGGATCCGATGTTTTCGACAAAGTCACACCGACCGGCGTGGTGAAGTATGGTCAAATAGCCCCCGCCCACGAGACCCCCACCCCAACGATGTGTTGCGAGGCTCGCAGCGAACGGTGGATCGAGCATAGCCGATGGCCGTGATGACGATGATTGGGCACGTGCGAAGGTTAAGGCGACTCTGGCTGTAGCACTTAACGAGTGGCAGAAATAATAATATATTTTTTATTACATATATAACCAACGAATACAATTGATATTGGCGATATAATTCTCATAGCGCAGGGTGATCTTCACGAATGAATGCGCTGCTGCTGTGTTTCACAGATGGGTATAGTGCCACTCATCAACTCTATCAACCCACCGGATAATTCACTCGCTCATCCACTCGCTAAACTCAACTACCTATCCACTCATTCACCCTCATCACTCCTTCATCCACTCACTCGCCCGCCCTCTCAACCCACCCCACTCGTGAATTCAGTCATCCACCCACTCACTCGCTCACCCACCGGCTCGCCCAATCACTCAATCATCAGCACACTCACCGAGGGAAGGCGCTACTGCTGTGCTTCACAGACACAGCCTGGTGTAGTTTCACAGTAGGGGGGAGGGGGGGGGACGATATTGCTCTTGCGTGTGATCCCAATTGGTTAATCTAACTGAACCTCTGCAACGAGCAGCAAAACACGCTACCTCCTGGGCCATATTACCGCTTCAGTCCATGTCTCCACAAAGACAAAGATCCCCCGTGTAGCCTTAGCAGACTGTTGGGGCAAGTGCTGTTAGTGAGCACCTACGAAAACCAGAACGGCACACGAGGGGGTGGGTGGCCAGCACAGCGCCCGGCCGCCTTTATCTCCCCAGTGGCGATGTTTACTACACACCACACAGGTACTAATTTGAGGCCGAGTCGACCTAGGGGAGGCCCAGGACCGGTTCTGATAATCGTCACTGGTGTTTGCCGTGAGCTGGAATCGAACTCGTTTCGCCAGGTTCGTAGCGCATGCGCGCTACACTACCGCTCTCCAACAACAACCGCCGTTCACCACTAAGTGGCGGCGACCTCACCACGGCGCCTGTACCATGCTAGGTGCACTTTTTGAGGCCACGTGAAGTGGAGAATGTTCGCTGGCAGGAGGTCACGGAACAGACCCAGGTGCCATGGGTCATTTATTGAAATGGCTGGCAGATGCACCAGCTGTGCTCCCGACTCTACACATACACGCGCGCGCACACAGGCCTCCATCCAGCAGTGGATTGACCAGGTCTGATGGTTGACGATGAACGAGCACGAGGCAAAGGAAACCTCTGGTGATTCGTAATAGATGTATTTTCGTTGTGTCGTGTAGAGCTGTGAATTTCCCTCCACTACCCGACGTATCACCTGCACTAGTGTACCCAGGCTAGTGTTTAGAAACACGCGTTTAGAGTATTTGGTTGCTACTATACATCCCCACGTGATAAGCAATTTTGTTGGGCAATCCTTTGTGATAGCCAGGTTGCTTCTGAATAAAAGAGCTACAAAGCTCAGTCGGCCTTACCTGGTAAAAAAATAACATATATATTGTAGTTTTACTGGTAGGAACGAAGTTGTAAACTGAGTGTATCAGCCTGCAATAGATTAATGTGTCCGTCCGTCCGTCCGTTCCCTTTCAATACTTTAACGAAGTGAAATATCGTGCTGTTGGGTGTAAAATCAGCAATAGGGACCTGTTATGTTGTTCGCTATCACCCAGAAATTATTTTTTTACGAATCGTGTAACTTTGGCCGTGGAAATTCACGTGTCGGGAAGTCTGACTCGCTAAAGCAGATGCGCGCGACTCGGATCCTCTGATGTTCGCTACGGGATGACTACAACGACCCCCTTACACCCTGGGGACCAAAGGACTGGGTTGGTTGTGGGGGAAGGTGCGGGGAGGGCGGTGGAGGGGTGGGGGGTAAGTGAGGGGTTGGGGGAGAGGGGGAGGGGGCAAGGTGGGGTCAACGGAGGGAATGAGAGCTCCTCTGTCTCAGAGCGGACCCAAGGACTGTATTGTACGGCAGAGGAAGGTTGTGAATGGGTGGTGTGTGTTGGGTGTGTGTGTAAGTACTGTATGTATGTGGGTGTGCGTACACACACGTGTGTGTGTGTGCGTTGGCGGCGGGGGGGGGGGTGTGTGGTGCGGTGGTTAGCGCGCTGCGCTACGACCCCGGCCGGCGGCCCGAGTTCGATTCCCGCTCGCGACGATCATCGGTCACGAATATGAGAACCGATCTCGGGCCACTCAGGCTCAAGTGATGACCTGGAGCGGTGTTGAAAACGTCAACACTGGGGCGACAAAGGCGACCGGGTGTGATATTGGCCACCCACCTCCACGTGTGCGCGTGCTCGCTAACACCACGCGTCCCACCAGCGTTTGTAAGCTACACGGGGGGGTGTCCATTGTAATTTATAATTTATATGCACACATTCACCAGCCCCCCCACCCGTCTGATCTTCGCACCTGATTGGCTCACAAGTGACGACATCAACATTATCGCAGGCCCCGTCTCTTTGAGACCGACACAGGAGCAGGATTTCTTCACAACTCCGTGGCTGCCGCCTGATGATGCTGGTTTCAATTGCTGGCGAAACGTCGTACTCGCATTATCAACGTTGGCGTGGCTTTACTCTGCAACACGCGCGTGTGCTGCGCTAGCAGCGATTCGGCACGTTTTGTTTACGCGACAATTCTTACTAATTGGCTGTATCGGGTGGTGGCGGGTTTAAAGACGCATTCATATATTTACACGATCTAACCACCCCCACCCCCCCGCCATAAATATTCTATTATGGATACACTGGGGGATGTTTGCATTTCTGTGAATGCGTGGGTTCATGCGTGCGTACACGCGTATGCGTGCGTGCGCTCTGACAGCTCTTGAACCATCCGTCTTTATCGCGTTACACGGGGGATCATCGTTGTCCGTGTAGCTCTAGGCCACGGCTAACGTCATTGGCACGTGCCGTCTGCACTCGTCCCTGGGAATCCCCGACTAGGTCGACTCGGCCTTAAATCCGTGAGTATCTCGTGCGTCGCCTCTGCGGGAGACAAAGGATTGCCGGGCGTGCTCCTATCCACACACAAAAGACAACGAACCCCCGTGCAGCCTTAGCAGAATGTTTGGTGCGAGTGCTGTTACCGAGCGCCTATGAAGGCCGGCACGGCACACGATGTGGTGGGTGGGTGGCCAGCACCACGCCCGGCCGCCCTTACCTCCCCAATGGTGACGTTTGCACATCGCACCAGGTACTCATTTGAGGCTGAGTCGATCTAGGGGGGGGGGGTACAGGAGCGATTCAGATCATTATCACCGGTGTTACCTGCGAGCGAGGGTTCGAACTCGGGTCGCCAGGTTCGTAGCGGGGCGCTCCGACACACACACACGTACACACGTGTGTCCGTACACACGTGTGTCCGTACACACGTGTGTCCGTACACACGTGTGTCCGTGTGTACGTTGACTGAAACGCGCAGAGGTTACGGGCGATTCTGTTCTGCAGGGAGCAATTCCCCGCAATTTGCTGCGCATTGCATTCAACAACCGAATACCTCCACAACCACCACAACCACTCTCATCCAACCATTCAACCACCCCGTCTCCCATCGCTAATCACCCAGAACCACACCAACCACAACCACCCCAACCACTCTCCCTCCCCCCGCCTCCTGACCCGCTAACCACCCCTCCGGTACCCTTTTGTTAATCCACTGCTGGATGAGGGCCTCTCCACTTGACCATACTTCACCACAATATTACATTTAAACTGCTGTTTGTAGCGTTGTGAATAATGGATTGTCAGAGGCACGCTTTGAATACACGGATCCCGATCGTATTGATGAATCGATCATCGCCGAATCGCGAGTCATCGTTACGCGAATATCGTCTCACACCTGGAGCTCGAGACATCCGTGGACGTTGCTCGGCCACAATTACATTCTCGGCGCGAGATGTCGCGTTCATTCGCGGCGACGTTGTTGATGCTGAGATGATGATCGGCGATGCTAACGACGGCTGCTTTGCGACGCGAGCAGGGGGGACGCGCGGATTCCGGAAACAAACAAAACGAGTTGAGGAAGATTGGGAGTTGATGGTGAGTGGTGAGTGAGGGGAGCGGGTGAGTTGATGGTGAGTGGTGAGTGAGGCGAGCGGGTGAGATGAGGTGAGTGGTGAGTGAGGCGGGCGGGTGAGATGAGGTGAGTGGTGAGTGTGGTGAGCGGGTGAGATGAGGTGAGTGGTGAGTGAGGTGAGCGGGTGAGTTGATGGTGAGTGGTGAGTGAGGCGAGCGGGTGAGAGGAGGTGAGTGGCGAGTGTGGTGAGCGGGTGAGATGAGGTGAGTGGTGAGTGAGGCGAGCGGGTGAGATGAGGTGAGTGGTGAGTGAGGCGAGCGGGT